ACTCACAGGCTGAAGTTCTCGGGCAGGAAGCATCGGTTCCGGAGCAGCCCTGCCCACAGCTGGACGCCCACGATGCCGAAGATGAAGAAGACGAAGAAGCAGAGCAGCAGGACGTTGCCCAGCATGGGCAGCGTGTCCAGCAGCAGCGTGACAAGGATGCGCATGCCTGTGGGGGGCAGAGGCCACGCTGGGGGCGCCAGGCTTGGCAGCACTCCCAGAGGGGGCCCACCGGGGCCTCTGAGGCTGAGACCTACCCACAGACACCTCTAACTCCGCAGGCAGCCCTTTGCAGCTGCTAACTCTACCAGCGACCCCTCCGGGCCCCCATATTAATCGGTGTGCGGGACCACCAAGGGTGAGCCAGGGTGACCGCCCTTCCCAAAGCACCCTCCTGCACCCCATCCCACCCAACATCCTTCCGGCGTGAATGTCAGCCCCAGTTTACAGAGGAGGGTCGAGTTCCAGAAAACTGACATGACTGGTCCAGGGCCGGCCATTGTAGGTGCCAGGACTTCAACCAGGCCCCGCGTCCAAATCCCATTACACACACACACACACACACACTCCCCTCCTAGTCTTGCTCTCACCACAGTCAGCTGACCTTTTTCTAAGTTACTGCCAGCACAGTCACTGGGGAAACCGAGGCAGAGAACTCCAGGAGGGAAGTCAGCAGGCAGGGCTCTCACTCTGAGATCCAGGCCCTCAGTCGGGACTGAGTTGCCCTGCGCTCCACCGCGGTTCTCAGACCCCCGTCCCCAGCCTACCCTCTGTGTGGTCCAGATCCCACCCCAGGACCCGACGGGCACACACAAGGCTATCTTCCCAGGTGGCCATCAAGTAGCAACATCTTCCCGGGGAAAAGCCACCACGACCGCACTCTCCCTTACCGCACCCGGTCCAGGACCCATCTACCCACAAGGTCTGAGCCAGCCTCCAGCCTCCAGGCCCCTGTCAAACTCACAGACGTTTCATGGCTGGTTTTGACTCCCAAAGTGCTGCTTCCAGGCCCCTGCTCCCTCCAGGGGAAAAGCTTCTAAGTGGCAGCTAATTAACAGGCTTGGTGACTGCAGCTGCCCTGGCCCTGCCCCTAGCAGCCCAGTGTTCTCACTTCGTGCCTCTCCCTCTCCTCCAGCCCCATCCCCCTCCAGCTCCTCGGTGCTCCAGCTGAGATCAATCCCTCAGGGTTTGCATTAAGGGAATTACACCGGTGGGTAGACAGAAGCCTATAAATCTGCCAGCCATCACCTGGGCGGGAGAGGAGGGGAGAGGAGGCAAAGGCAGGCCTCGCCCGGAGCTCCTGTGAACACCAGCACAGCACAGCACCTGGAGGACACACCGAGCAGCTCTGCCTACCCTGAGGCAGCTCATCACACACACAAGATGCATCATGCGCACGCATGCACACGCACACACACAGCAAAGGGGGCTGCCACCACACGACTCCCAGACACCGGCTCCCCCAACCCACCCCACACCTGGGATTTCAGCAAAGGCCATCTGCAGCTTGTGTAGGTTAGGGAGTTGCAAAGGGGGCCTGAGCAAGGGTGGGGGGCAGGATGTGTGCGGAGCTAGAACTGCCAAAGCGTCGTTGGCTCGGGGAACCAATGCGGTTTAATTTAGATAATGGTACATGCACTGACCACCAGGGGGCAGACATAGGGAAGTGGGCCTACACTGTCAGTTGGACATCTCCCAAGGGCTCCCAGACTGTGAGAGCCAGGCCGCCCCACCTGGAAGATGGCGATCCAGGCGTAGCCGATGTTGTCGAAGTTGATGGCGCCCTTGAAGGGGTTGTGCTCCCCGGCAGAGCAGTTGGTGTAGTACTGGTTCCAGTTGACACAGGTGGTGTTGCTGGAGCTGTTGTAGGCCTCGTAGTCCAGGGCGCAGGGGGAGCCGCCCCCGCCCTCCCCACGCAGGGTGGGCACACTCCTGCAGGAGCGCATGCCGTTCTCCCGGGGCTGGGAGCAGATGAAGGGGTTCTCGTCCTCATTCTCCGTCTGGTAATAGGGCTCCAGGTCCACGCTCAGGGGGCTGTGGGGGCGAAAGGGATGAGGCTGGGGCGGTTCCCCGGGGGGCAGGCCCCGGAAGGGAGAACTGCATGTGTGGGCCGAGGCACACGGGGTGAGCAGGGAAAGGACCAGAGTCGGGGCAAGCACCGGGCGGGTGGGGATTGGTGAGTGTGGATGGGGAGCGTGAGGATGGGTCGGGATCTTGGGAGGTTTGTCCCATGAGGCTGCCTATCAGGCTCACTGGGGAGCTTATAACACTTGCAGGCCTAGGGCTGACCCCCAGACCAATGGAATCGGAATCTGTGGGGGTGGGACCCAGGCCCCAAGAATTTCTTAAGCTCCCCAAGTGACCCTAATGTGGGAGTTTGAGAACCAGACGTGTCACGGAGATGAGGACAGATATGTCGATAGCAACAGGGACTGAGGGCGGTCCCAGCCCCCCATAGCC